GGCAGCTCCATCCGAAACCTTTCTACTGGTAAGTCAAGTCAGAAAGCATCAACTAGAGCACATCAATATTGAAATGTCAAGAGCTGGGTGGGTTTTTTGGTTATTTTGCTGATTCTGACAGTCTGCACCAAGTCTCAATGAAAGAGTTATTTATTAAGACTCTAATTGCACAATAATTAACCTAGCCTCTAAGGTATGTTAGTTTATCCATAAATGTTTAAGTGTAGCAAGTAGGCTGTCAAAGCAGTTTAACTCAGTAACTGCCAAAATAATGGAAATACAGGTGTCATCTTCTATACTCTGCTCTCTAATGTAAATCATGATGTCTTCACAACATGGGATTGAGGGTCTAGGCAAACAAAAGGCATTGTCTCAGTCTAAGTGTACAAGAACAAGTTATCCCCATTTAATGTCCCTTATGACAGGAATGCTTTGGGTATGTAGCACTGACTCACACAGTCTTTCAAATAAATAAATAAATAAATAAATAAGAGAGCATTATATGTTTGCTCTGTTGAACTTTCAGCTTCCAGCTGTACTGGAACCAACTGGAACAGGCTTCAGAATGGAAGTTTGTAGAATTAGAGTGGACCTTGCCCCACCATTTTGGAGTAAAGGGCTTCCTTCTGCTCAGGCCACAAGCCATCTAGTGAAATGCTAAATACACTTGTTTTTAAAACTAATTTGCTAGCACGCGCGTGCACACATGTTCACAAACACATACACAGCCATCTGTGGGAACCATAGAGGACAACCCTTTTGGATTGTGAGGAGGCACCACAAGGGACTGAAAGGTTATCAGGATACTGGCACAGAGAAGAGATTCCAAGAAGAACTGAAGACTACAGAGAGAACAGATTAAGAATAGAAAGAATGAAGCCCAAAATAAGGGAGACAGAACAAACCATCCAGAGAAGATAATACAGTAGAGAAGAAACTAGCAGAACCTCCAAATGTTATGGACTATAACTCCCAGCATTTCCCACCATTGGCTCTGCTGGATAGATTTGCTGGTACTTTCAATCACACAAGTTTCTCTCCTGATATGGGACATTCTGAAAAACATTTCTAGGGCACGAGTCATTAAAACAAAAACAAAAACAATTCTCTGTAATTTCAAATGGAATCAGAGATGGTGAGTGTCTTAATTAGTTCATTTGCTACACAGCTTTCCAAACTATCTTTGCTCTCTGTACTGAAAGGACTTTGTTAAGACATCACCTTAATAGGGTCATGTACATCTCCACCCAAAATGCACCATCACTCTTTCACTGTCACAAAACCTTTCAGCCAAATACTTGACAGCCTAGATCAGGTGCTGTCCAAACATTTTATTAAAACATTTAAAATGATGAATATATCCAATTATTAGTATTAATGCAGCTAATACTGACTAATGAGGGGGAAACATTCTAGCTTGTGTCCCGCAATTCATTACCTCTGCCTTGTCAACAATTCAAAGCCCAAAACCTAATCATCCATACCAGGCCCTGTTATATTTCACACGTCACATTTAATAAGTCACTCAGTGCCTATAAATTAATGTAACATGTCGGCGTTTATGAGTGTGGCTTTGTCGTTGCTAACAAATGATGTGCTGGCCCAGTCTGCTGCAGCCAGGCAATGACGAATGATAGAAAATGATTTCTCTCCAAAATACAAACTATGCACTGGGGACCACAGTAGTTATAGTTATGTAGTCACAGATATATGCTCAGAAATATAGATACCACCCAATGCTCTCTAGTGCAATGTAAAATAAATATATATTTTGGGGACCCAAATTCTTATATATGTACAGCTGATAAATCATTGTGTCAGTTCAAAGTTTTGTTGCACTGAAATTCATGCTTGGCATACCTGCACATACTGTAGTAGCCCTTTCCATCTCATGGAGCCTTCTCTCTATTGAAATGAACACTATAGCAGGCAGGGAAATGCAGCAGTTGCAACCAAAACATTGCCAGAGCAGATTATTGGGTGAGGGCATGTTTAAATTAATGAACAGAGACCAAATATCATGACTGTGTCAAATACTTTGACACTTTTGAAGATGCTCTACAGAGACACGTCACAAACCAGAAGCATTTTATTCCTAGCTCCTCTTTAGAAACAACTTAACAATAAAATAAGTAGCTGTACTGGAAAGCGTAATTATCTTGAAATAATACTACTTACAGATCCTAAAGGGGTCAAATCTCAGAGACGGAAGAAGTCATTTTGTCAAGAAAAGAAAATAGTTTCATAACTAAACACCCTATAATTAATCAACTGACTGATTCATACTTCAATATGAGCATATGTTATGATTTTGTGCTGTGATTTGTTATGTAGAAAACCAAGACACCAAGCAAATAAGTCCAAATTCAAATTGTTGTAACAGAGGATATTTTAAAGGTCTCATGTTGTCTTCTTTGAATTTCTCCTTTTAGAAGAAAAAAATTGAAGACACTGTTCATTATTCTACTTATATTCCATTTGGAAAATAAAGGAAAGTATTTAGTCACTTTCTTTTTTGGATCCCATTTCTGGTTTACTCTTCCAACCTGCTAAATAGTTACATATATCCAGACAAACAGTTACAGCTAAAATTTGGTAGTGAACTAAGGACATTGCTATCCAAACACTCTGCATAATTGGGAAACTAGTGCAGAAATAAACCCTTTCAGAGTGCAGACTGAGGTCAGATAATGTAATGTAGCATATAGCCCATAACAGCAAAGGCTAGTTGACCAATTAAAGCTAAGTGATGACTTGGCTTCTAGAGTACCCTGCAGCCATTTGTACAACTTTAAAAAGTACCATGTACCAACCAAACAAGACAGACATAGGACACTTGGGATGATAAGCACAATCTCATACACACATACACAAGGCTCTTAGCATATTAAATATTTGAACAATCAATTATGTAACACTGAATTTTCAATTAAACAAAGCAAAGGTTAAAAAAAGAATGTTCACATATATTTTACATTTGTACCATGAAGCATTCTTTAACAACTCCCTATCCCAAACCAAAACTAGCAAGAATGTATATCAAACAAGATAATTGGTTGAGCGCTGTTTGCAACCAGGTTGATGCCAGACTAAACACTGGTGTTTATTTGTATAATTTTGCCTGTTAGTATTGCTGCTTTGAGTCCCATTTCGGAGAAAGGCAAGATATAAATCAAATAAATCAATAAATTCCTTCCTTCTCAACTGTGTCTTTCTGTGTGTTTCAGTATGTTTTCCAGTACATCAGCTGCTTAAAAGTAAGAAGAAGACAGAAGAGCTCTGCAACAAATTTCGTCCTTCCAGACATGGTCCCAAACAGGCAAAGTAATAATAATAACTAAACCCCAAAGTGTGTGTGTGTGTGTGTGTGTGTTGCAGAACTCCTTACATAATACTATATTGTGAGAATGTTATGGAACAGGCAGCCTCAAGGTACACCAGAGACCTGGTCATAGCACTTGAGGGGCACCTAAATCAGTTCCATATGAGCTCAATTTTGCATCATAGCCATCTTGTTTGTACAGCTCTCAGTTCACAAGGAACAGCAAATGCAAGAAAACCCTTCTCTCAGAGCAACAGATGTAGTTGGGAGTGAGAAGATGCAAGTGATAAGAGGACCTTAATAATGATGTAAAGTCACAGATCTTTACATACATTTAAATTCTGTCGGTGCACTGCTTCATACATTCATGTGCTACAGAATTCCATCTTTGGTTCTGTCATGAATAACTACAGAGAAAACATCTGCAAGTAGGATTTTTCCAGGCAAAATTTTTATAGTAATATCTTAACACAACTCCTCTGATTTTTCAAGTGTTATTTACGTCAATGGCTCATGTTTCTTCTGTAGCAGGAAGTGCAGAAGAAATTTCTGAGGAATGTCTCTATGCTTTAAGTGGTTTACATTAAACTTTCTTTCTTTACTGAGCTGATAAGTAACAGTAGCAAACTAAAACAAAAATGTGACTAAAAGGGAATATAGTAACATATCCATGAAGAGCAGCTACAGAAAATCTAAATTCCCATCAAATTCCAAGGAAAAATTATAGCATTTTGTTTATGTCATAACTTATTATCAGGGAGAAAAATGAGGGTTCAGAAAGATAAATATTTTGTAATGGATTTATTGTTCACAAAAATGGCTTGTTTTGGGGGGGAAACATTTCTTTTCTCTGCCTGTTTTTTTTCCCCTGGCAGTTCCCTGTGGTTCTACTACAGAGTTATTTTCATCCATAGTTTTCCTTTCATTTTACAGCAGTCATTTAATTTCTTTTTTCTCCATTACCAGCTGATTTTTCTGTTCTGTTATGTAAAAATCTTGAGAGACAATATCCATTACTATATCTTAGTACCAGCAGCCTGGGAGCTCTGTTTTTATAATATTAACAATTAGTTGTAAGATCATGGTTGAAAATTTCTACACACTGTTGGCAGGATTAGGGTTCAGTTCAATTATCACTTTAACAGTAAAGAGGGGAAGGGAGGCACCAGCTATGGTTAAAGGTTATGTCATATATCAGATTGCTCAGAAAAGAAAAGATGAGGCAGGGTAACCATTCTAGATCTCAATGAAGACAGGAAGAAAGTCTAAAAAGACTACTCTTCATTATTTTCAAGTTTATATTCCAAAGAGAATATGTTTTAAATGCATTTGTACCCCCTTTTGAAGAGGGTCTTAACAAACCCCAATGCTATCAACAAAGATCTATAATTTCTTATTTTTGGTTTTTAAATAAAAAATAAAAAACCATCCCATCACCAAGAGTTATTTAAGGCAGTTGTCTGGGATTTGACTGTATCTAGGATTCATTCTGATCTGTGTTGTTGTTGTTGGTGGTGGTGGTGGTGGTGTGTGCTTTCAAGTCATTTCTGACTTAGGTGACCCTAAGTTGACTATATCATGGGGTTTTCCTGTTAAGATTTGTTCAGAGGAGGTTTGCCATTACCCTCCCCTGAGGCTGAAAGAGTGTGATGTGCCCAAGATCACCCACTGGGTTCCATGCCTGAGCTGGGAATCAAACCCTGGTCTCTAGAGTCATAGTCCAACATTCAAACAACTATGCCACACTGGCTCTGATCTTTATATAGTTCCCATAACCCTCAGTTTTCACTCTGCACTAGTTTTTTCAACAGCCTGCACTGATGTTTGGAGACAATATTAGCACAGAGGAAATAGAAAGCTGGTAAGATCTCAGAGGTTCAAAAAGTCTGTTGATGCCTACCTTGGGTGATTTAAAAACTCAGTCCTACTGATGAAAGAAAACTTATAGAGAACTTCATTTCAAATGATACCTAAAAGGTCTTAACCAGAAATACCACATCTCATGATTCCACAACGAAGACAATGGAGATTATCAGACCACGATGGGATGGGGTCAGGAGTGAAGTGGATCGCTCTCTTGTTCTTATCCTGTCCTTGTCCTGATTGCGTGAAAGCATTTCAGAGACATCACACTTATTCTGTCATTAACCTGTCATTAAAGAGGAATTGTATTAACCTGAACTCCTGTTAATATAAAATGACAGGACAAGAGCAACGTCAAGAGAAAGTCTTTTACGCAATCGTGGTCAAATGATGGAACACTGTGCAATGTGAAAATCTTTTCCCGATCACGCCATAAGGATGGGCAAAGGATGGGGCAAGGATGTCCTTTTCCTTATCCGATAATCTCCATTGTCAGAAATTAAGAGGGACACTAACAGCTACCTCCAAATTAAGTCTCTAAGACCTTTCTGAACCACAGAGCACCTACTATTATAGAAAAAAGATAACCACCATAACAGTGTCATCTTGCCAAGCACCTCTTCAGCACTTGAGCTGGTTCTGGATATTAGGCAAGCGTTTTTTTAGGAACACTTTACACAATGCCTTGGGAAACTAGCCTAGTATAACATGATGGGCTAGAAAGTGGCTCAAACTTCTCACTAAGGAGAAAGTTAGTCATAGTACAATAAACCTCAATTCTCTCTCCAGATGTTGTTCATATCACTTCCCATCCATCCCACTGGCCTGGCCAATGGACATAGTGATGGGAGTAATAGTTCCATCAACATCTAAATGGCTGCAGATTCCCCTAACCTGCTCTGTGGTATGGCAGCACTGATTCTCCCACAGTGTATTGTTTCTGTTTCAGCAGGTAAAACATCTTAGAGTTCAGTTTTTCATAATATGGGGTTAGCAAAGCACTGGGGAGTGCACTATAGATGTGCCCTAGGAGATTCACACTCCAGTTGTACTGGTATGTAATCTTACTGCTTGTTAAGAGACTAAAGAGATAAAAGCAAAAACATCCATGTGCACATACACTTTCATAAAGTAGAACAAAATTAACTAATTCTCCCCACCTCACCCCCCCCAAAAAGATTTAATTATTGGAAGGTATGGACTGATTTTACCCCCTTTTTTCCTGCATTCATTCATAACCCATTAACTATCACAGCAAACTTAGTGGGGGGGAGGGCAAAGTGCTAAAAACAACACAAAAAAGCGCAGTAAACATCTGTGTAAGCTGAACTGCTGGATGTTTGTTAATCATTAAAACAGGGAAACTGATCAATAGTGCAAAACAAAGGAGTCCAGGTATGAATGTGTTCTTGTACATCCATTTCAATAAATTATCTGGGATGGAAAGACAGGGGAAGGTTCTTGAGAACAATCATTTTGGGATCAAGAGCTGAATCATTTCAGCCCACATCTTGATTTCTGCAAAACCCAGCAGGAATTATGAGGCTTAACAGCATCTCAACAATTAGCATATGATAAATACAAAAAATGATATATTAAAGCAAGAGGAGAGGGGGGAAAGGCCAGCATTTTACACCTACAGTAATATAATTCCACTACTTAATGCAAAGTAACAGGCATTAGAGTGTTTGGGATCCTCTTGTATGGTGTTATCTGCTCTATCAGTAAATGAGACTATGTGAACAGTACAACCTATAAATAATTCAAGGCCTGAGATGGCAATTATAGAGCCATGCACAACCAGCATGAATATTTTATGAAGGCTAAAACAGCCCTCAGAATGAATCATGGATAGATGAACACACACATACACACACACACACACACACTTGCTGGCCAATATTGCTTCTAGACATGCCTTACATCTGAGCCTTAGAATAGCCACTTTTAAAAAAAATCACTACAGTGAAAAATAGAAACAAAATCTTTATATATTATTTTATTTGTTAAAATAAGCTTTAACATTAAATACAGTGAATGTATTGGGGGGGGATTAAACTGCAAGATGATAAAAGCCAGCACTATCTGACTCCACCCCCCATCCATACAAGTAAAGATTTAAAGCCATCCTTTCTTCTGGTGTAGTATAATGTTGGTAAGAAGAAACTATTCCTATACTGAGGAGCAAGTATGATGAATTATCTGGACCTTCATTAGATACTTTGGTGGGCCAAGGATAGATTTCAGTGTTTCACAAAAGTCCATGTAACTCACATTGATTACATCAGGGGTCGTCAACCTACAGCCCGCGGCCCACACCCGGCCCACTGCCCCCCGCCCCCCGCCTCCCGCCGCTGCTGCGCGCTCCCGCCGCTGCGCTGCTGCATGCATCATGGCCGCCATTTTGTTTGTCAAAATGGTGGGCATGCGCGCCTCCATTTCACCTCCCTGGCCTGGCGGAAGGCCTGGGGACAAGCGACCAGCACCAGGTATGTTAACGTTGCCAACCCCGATTACATACATATCTGAAGAAACTCAGCTTTAAAAAGTAAGGCTGAAACACTATACTTATTTACCTGGTAGTAAGCCCCACTGAACCCAAACAGATTTAGGGTGCATCTACACTGTAGAAATAATGTAGTTTGACACCATTTTAACTGCCATGGCTCCATTGTACAGAATCCTGAGATGTGTAGATTGGTGAGGCACCAGTATTCTTTGGCAGAGAAGGCTAAAAAAATAAGGATTCCATAGGATGGAGCTACAGTATTGAAGTGGTGTTAAACTATTAGTTCTAAACTGTATAAGCACCATTAGTTTTGCATAGCTCTGCACAGGATTGCTGCAGTGCCATAAAGAAAATTATGTCCTTGGGCATAATTCCTGAATAAGAATTGGTTGGGTTTGTGTGTGTGTGTGTGCTGTTTTGTTTTGTCTATATCACATTAATACCATTCGAGCCAGCAACTATTCTGTCATCTACATTCTACTATACATCCGTGTGGAACTCGTGCTGCTCTGCCCAAACAACAACCCTACACTGCCACAGGTGACTGAGATCCCTGTTTGGGAGCAGCACCCATTATAAAGATATAACAATGGTGCAGATACAGTTACCCCTTCCTTTCTTCTTCTTAACAATACCTCATCTTTGGAGCTATTATGATTCTTACTTAGGGAAGTTTTAGACATTTGTTTAAGGAGTGGGATGGACAGGAGGTGCAAATGGCTTTATGCTCCCACATGTGGCTATTGGTGAAAGGGGAGTAAGCTAAAGTCAAGTAAGAATGACCGGATTCACATAATCAGTTCTCTGCAAAAGGTCATGGGGTAACAGACAAAAGCAAGACTATGGAGAGGCTGGAATTGTAAGTTATTTTGCGAAGACTCCTATAATTTTGCAATTTTGTGGGTTTGGCTAGCACAACAGCCCATTCTTCCAGATAGTTTGTGGCTACCACCCTGGGAGACACTGGGGCTAGCATTTATGACCAAGACCTAGGGATTGTGAAATGAAGTTAACATAGTGCCATTTGGGGGTGGAACATTTGGCTACGAGCCTGTTGATGCCGGGCAATTTAGGGAAGATTACACAAAGTTTTAAGGTGCTGAGATTTGAACTGAAATTATTTAAAGAAGAGCATGAACATGATAATGGTTCAAGAAACCTGGAGACTAAAATCACCAGAAGCTATTATTTAAAGTGAGCCATACCTGTCCTCACTTTGGGACACATAGCAAGTTGTCCCTTTTCTTAATTACAGACCCACCTTAACTTTTTTTCATCAAAACTCCATTTATAAAGAGATTGTCACTGCCTACATGCATTCCTCCCCCCTGCCTCCCCGGGGGGGGGGGGGTTTCCAGCCAAACTAATGCAAAGGAAGATATCTGGCTACTTTAAAACCTTGTTAATTCTTTCTGTTAGCTCCCTATTCTGGTCTAATTTTCTAACTACTTTCAGTAAACATTGCATACCCAATAAAATGCTACATAAATACCATTGTAATTTCTGTTCCACTTTCTTTGGTTGCTTTTGGGTCTTTTTTTTTTTTTTTACCAACTTGGGACAGAAAAGACAAGCTAAAAAAAAGTATGTGGTGTCTTTTGTTTTTTGTTTTGTTTTTCGATCTACTTGCACATGCAGAAACCAATATTCCAACCAAGTACTGTTGACTTTTAGCTTCTAATACAGTTCTATGCATCCGGAAAAGAGAATTAACACTGGAGAAAATGTTGAAAGTGCTCAATGGATTGCACTCATGGGCTGGGGGATAAAGAAACATGTTTTTTCCTCATTTAAACTCTGTGCAGCGGTAGAAAGGAATGCATATCATCAGACCACAAATAAAAAGGAAATACTCTGCTAATTGCAGGGGTATATTACAGCCATGAAGTATGTAAATAGATTTGCTGTTGGCATATTTTCTATACTTTCCAGATTTTTGTTCAAGCACAATATAGGGCTCGGGAGGGGGACAAAGGGAACTGTGATATTAGGTTTGTTTGTTTAACAGAATAGTCTTTTAATCCACTTAATTAAGAGTTGTGAGAGCATAAAAACAATTCAGAATGGGTTAATCTTTTATTTTCTTTATTATGACATTCCTGTTTACTTTTTCCCAAATGCGATCATAGGCACAATAAAGACTAAGAAAGCTAACTGCTAACACATGGACCCCTCCATGGCTTGTCAGGAATTTCTCTCATATTTTTTGCAAGTAACACTGGCCAAAATAAACTCTGCAAGTTTGATTTTCTTCATCATGAATTGACAGCTTATTTATCTCCACACAGGCACATTCTAAACACTGTAACGTTTTCACAGAACTAAGGCAGGATGTTGCTGACTCTTCCAAAATATTCTTTCTTTATAAAATGCTACAC